CATAAAGAAAACCTTTAATTTTTGAAATGTCATAATAGCAGAAGTAGAAGGTAGGTTTCCTTTAGCCAAGCATTGAGTTAGTATAACTGAATTCATGCTATCATGAAGCACTAATAGTATTACAATATTTCTTCTTGTTCTTTTACTGAGCTACTGAGTATTTTTTTCTATCTGATTTAGGATTGGTGGATTAGAAAGTTGACTATAGTGGATTGGCTGTAGCTGGCACTCACTGAGCTGCCTTGCTCATTCTGAAACTCTTCTCCCTACAAGTAACAGTTGGAAGTTCCTTCCAACAAAAGCAATAAACTCAAAGAGGCCATAAAAATATCATTGCAGTCTGCCTAGATATAGTTCTCTCTATCAAGTTAAAAGCTGCCCTAGTGCTTCCAGTATTGACGATAAAACTTCCAGTTATCTGTCAATTCTCAGTTTTTTGTATGATTTCTTATTTTAAATAAAAGGCATGCTAGAGGATGGCAGTCTGTAGAAAACTGTCAGCTTATCTAAAAGACTCCAATAAAAACACACAAAACTTGAAATTAATTCCATATATAAAGGCTTCTTTGCCTAAAATTTAAAATTTCTATTCCTCCATATAACATTCAAGATTTTTTCCAGTCAGATAGGCGAGTAGCAAGTCCTACAATGTTCAAGTAAGATTATCCTAGATAACACTTCTTCCTGTCTACTATGCAACATTATTTTGGTTTAAGTCTCCCTTTGTGGTTAATTAACTATTAATTATCCATTAATTTTTATAAAAGAAGACCATTTATGCTAATCTACTTGCTTACATTAACATAAAATCTCCCCTTGTGCTGTCCTATAGTTCAGCTTTCAAAGGTGTTTCTTGACTTAATCTTGTAATAAAAATACATATGAATGTTAATAGATATATTTTTCTAAAAAAACACTCTTTTAATTTTATTTTTCATAATGTCTTCTTGAACCTGAGTCTTAATGAACTGTTGGAATTAATTTAATAAGCTTTTTCTTTCACAGAATCTTTGACATTTTTGTTGTTATATGAATTACATGTCAGCATTTCCATCACATGAAGTCTTATTAATACCTCATAAATGCACACAATTTATAGGCTATTCTCCTGTCCATCAGGACATGAAACATGCCTGTTAAGTTATGTATTATGTTATTATTGTCCTCTTAAGTTCAAAATGCATCTGTGGAAAAAGTAGGCACCTTTTTTTCCCCAACACTTTGCTGTGATTTACAACCTACTTCTCTTTTGTGACACCTGGAAGGTTTATTTGATTTCAAGAAGTTTACAGCTGAATTTTAGTGAGTGTTGTGTAGTTAATACAAAAGTGGTAAGATTAAATGGGTAAGGTTCATCTTCACAGCAAAAAAATCCTGGATCTTCTCAATTCAAAAGAAACATCACATAAAAAAAGTGTTCCAGTTATTTAAATTATTCTACAATCTAATCACTGATATGTCTTATCCTAATTGCCAAGTTCAGAAAAATACTTGGATAATGGCTTTTCTCTTCTGCAGTTCAAATCAAGAGAAAGGGGTTTGGATGTTTTGCCCATGTGATATTTGATAAACAAATTATTTTAGGTCAATCAAAACACTAAATAAAAATTTTATTTTCACTAATGTTCCTCTAGACATTTTAAATTTAAATGTCTGAAGCAAATTTTGAGGAGGAAAATATTGTATACTTCATTATAAAATGTTTCTACAAATTCCTTCAGTGTTTTCAGACTGTTTCATCAAAAGAAAAGTTTTGTTTGTCTATACTGTATTCAATGGGAAACTGCTTTGACTTTTTTCCAGTGAATTCTGCTTAGAAGATACTTTCTTCTTTGTTCCTAAAATTTATATGTGTGTGTCAGTTCTCTTTCTAACACCAGTTCTTATCATGAATTGCTATCACTGTTATCTGTGGGTCCTCCGTAATTTCATTTGAGTTCACTGTGTGTGTAATCTTGACTTTTTTTATAATTAGTGATTAAAGTCAAGTAACTTTTGAGTAATTACGAGATTTATTTTATCTAAGTTTGGACTTTATTCCATAGTGGAATGCACTGTTCCCACATTCCCATATTGAGTCCAGATTTCCTTTCAAAGAAGTCATGTATACATTCTGGCAAAGAGCTGTTGTACACTCCATGAGATTGTCTCCTTTGCACTGTCAGAATCCAGACAGTTATTTTTTAAGATGTTTGTGTTCTCAACTCCTGGGGCTGATTCCTTGCTAATTCCTCTGGATATACAATGCTGCCAAAATCATCCAAGATTTTGACATTGTTGTATTTTGGAAGTGTCATATTGTCTGAACTGTCAGTAGGGAAAACAACTCCATGTGTGTAAGAATAGATTTAACTTTTATGTGGATGAAGACTGTTGTGTATTGTTATGGTCAGGAGTGTGCTATTTGCTTGCGGGTGTTTTGGTTTGGTTTGGTTTTTTACCTTAGCAAAAATTCAGAGCAGCTTCTGGTCATAAAATATATATTGGATACTGCCTAATTAAAAGTGAGCTAAAAAGTGATGGAATTTAATTTTTTTTAAATTTTAAATAAAATAATTGTATTATTGCAATGGCAATACCTGTATTACATTATGTTAGAACATACTATTTTTCAAAACAGTATTGTGTAGGGTAGCACTGTGCTTTTTAAATTGTTTCAAATCTGGCTATTGATTTGCCAGCCTAGTGCTGTCAAAAGCAGACTCATGCATATTTTCTTCTGATTGTTCAATTCTGCTTCAGAAAAGAAATGCATAAAGGTGAATTTTAAATCAAAGTGTTTTGCTCTGTGTCTTTGGGAACAGACCGACCTATGTGAACACTTCGTTTCTCACCAGTTTCTTTTTTGTAATTGGACCAGGAACTTGTGTCTCATCCCTGAGATGTATCTCACTTCGGCGCTTGTGCCACCCACATTTGTTTGTCTGACATCTTCAGTAGGAGTCTAATTGTTTTATTGATTCTCTTTGTAGCAATCCCCTGGCTTTACCGATTGCCAAGCAAGACAGTTTGCTGGAGAAAGACACCATGTTTAAAGATGCAGCTAAAGCCTTATGCAAGCAACAATCTCAAGACAGTGCCTCTGAAAATGTCACTGTGAACACCACAACCAAACTTGAACAGGTAACGACATGCAGTTTCTTGATTTCTTTTCTTTAGTGATTAGGTATGGAAATTGTAACATTGAAGCTGAAGACCGTGGTATTTTTTTCTCTGACCACACAGCAATATCTTTTGCACTGTGGAGCCTTGTCACCTTGATCACTTCCTGCATTAAGTCTGGCCCTGCAGAGTTCCCTCTGCAAACTGAACAGCTACTTCTTTGCCAGCTACTGGTGGCAGGTCAGGGGCTGAGGCAGTCTGAGGGCTCAGAGCTCCTCAAACTCTGATTCATGGTTCACAACAGGGGAGGGACAACTGTTAGCGCTGCCCAGAGTGTGCTCTTGTCTCCAAGGTCGGTGTACAAAAGAAAGAAACACAACCTGGGAGACTGTAAAAACAAAAAGAATGTGTAAGGAATATCAAGTTGCAAAGTAAGTGACTGTAATTTAAATCTAGGAATTGCCAGATTTACAGATGCAGAGTTAACTGTCTTTCTTGTGATAATGTATTAGGTTACAGGCACTGGTTATTTGGATACCCTTTGCAGTTTTCTCCCCAGCCAACATCACAATCTCATTCAGTGTACAGGATGAATGCAAAAGGAGGCAATTATATCTTGCTTATAAATTTAACACATCCCGAGTTTGAGTTCATTACTTGGAGTTTGGCATTTTTTTTGAGGGGATGGTGTGTGTGTTTCTTTTTGTTGTTGTTGTTTTTACTGTTTGTTTGCTTGCTTGCTTGTTTGTTTTTGGTTTCTGTTTGTCAGGTTTTGGGTTTTTTGCTTGTTTTGGTTTGTTTTTTTTTTGCGGTTTTGGTTGGTTTGTTTTGTTGGGGATTGAGTTTGGTTTGTTTGTGTTTGTTTGCTTGTTTGTGTTTTTTTGTGCTACAAGAGTTTTATTTTCTGTTACATGCATTTCAGAAGCACATATTCCAGAAGTATTTAGCCATTTAAGAAAACATTACTTTAGAATTGTGGAGGTGGGGGTGGTGGAGGGGAATATTTCCATTTGAAATAGCTTACTGTGAATTTGAAGCAAAACAAAGGAGAAAGATATTGATTTCATTTAAGCCACCTTCAGTTCAAAAAGCTGCGTAACTGTCTTGGCAGAAGAATGCAAGTTCCACTGCCTTTATTTGTTTGTGTTTCAGAGGAATGGCTTGATCATATGAAATCAATCAGTGGGTTCGTAAGTGAATTATACGAGTCAATCTCTGAAAGTCCTCAGCTTTGGGATCCTGTAGAGCACTCAGTTCCCTATTCAGTCAGAAGATACCACAAAGTGTTTTGCGCTTGGCTTAGATCTTGTTTTCATGTCTTAAAATTTCTGGTGTTGCTGACTGATGTGATGTGATGAAAATAGTCAATTCAAGGGACAAGCAATGCTGCTTAGAAAAGTGAATGCTTGCAACCCTTTTAGAAGGAACCCTCCTATAACTGTAGTAAAAGAGAGGGAGGTGTTTAACTTAGGATCTTGCCAAGACCATCGCTTCCTTCTAGATGTTCAGCAGTAGTGTGAACATGAACATAGATGCTTCTTTCTGCTTGATTCTCTTTTGATGCAAGCCTAGTTAAAAATATTTGGCTTTTCATTATCTCTGAGCTAAACCTTTGCTTCATAGTTTGTGCACTAAAACACAGACAGAAACATTTTGGTAATTTCGTTCTCCACCATGACCTATAGTCTCTTCTGGGTCCCAGGGCAGGTTTTCGAAAGTACTCCTGCTGTTTCACCATACTTCGGTAGAACTTCCCCCAGTAGTTACAAATCAAACACAAGACAGCAGACTTAAAGATCAATCTCTTTGAGCTCCATTAGTTGAGAAATTTCTGCAGAAAACTCTCTGTGAAATTCCTCTCTAAAAAAGTTAGAAGGAATATATATCTTGGGGTTTTTTTAGAAGCACTAAAAACTACAAATCTTGCTTAGTACAGTAGTTACTGAGTAAGTAGTGATACTCCCTTGGAAAAGAATAAGCAGGAAGATCCTATCTTTGAAATCATCACTAACAGGGCATAGGTTAGAAATGGTGCTGTTTCAGTGAGTTTTTAAATGAGTGGTTGCATAAAAAAAATTAATAGATTACAGAACTTTTCAGTTGGCAAGGGCTTAATGAGCTTTAGCTTCTATGAAGAAAAGAGAATAAACCGGTTTAAACACTTTCGGAAATAGTTAAATTTTACTAAACTAAAGAATACCTAGATTTTGTGAAATGAAAATATGCAATTTTTTTCTTTTTTGAAGTGACCTAATTGTGATCCTGGAAATAAAGGGATTGTGTTCTATACTAATAGCCATGCATTATAAACTCTGTGTATGTGTGTCTATATATATATATATATATATAAATCTAAATCTCCATATTTGTGTACATAATATTTAGATCTTAGTTTTCAGAGACCATTTTTTTTTTTAATTTCCCAACATAACAAATAAAGTTCTTATTTAGTGCTGGTAGCAAAGGAAAACTTTGAACAACCCCTTCCTTCTGTTCCAGCCTTTTGGTTACACATTCTAATGGATTTCATTGTCTTATTCTTAGCAATTGCATTCCAAAGTATGCTAAAAGTAATCATGTTCTGTTTAATTTTTCAGTAGGTTATGTGGAGTCATTACTTGGCTTTTTTATACACATATTATTGAAATATATTGGCATGACATTGTGTATGCATTGTGTCAGAAATATCATACATTCTTAGGCAGTATGGCATGCAGATTAGGCTGTTATTGGAGGATCAGAGAGAAAAATTTTATCCTAGTACATTTGAAACATGCATTCTTAATAAAAAAAGCTCATGATTTTTTTGGCTTTGAGAGACTTAACAATTCAAATTTAACTGTAGCTTCAGGTTCTTTTAATTGCAAACATGATGAAAAAGAGACTTAAGAAAATATTTCTCATGAAGTAGGATTTTTATTACATGAAGCACAGGAGGGGATCAAACGACTACATTGACAAAGGTTTTTGTGCATCTCTTGTATTAGCTTTTGCTTTTTCCTTGGTAAAAGGTGCTCTTTGATTGTCTGTAATGTCAAGATCTATGCTCCAAACAAAGAAAGCAGTATGAGTAATTTCCAGAATTTTATCATAGCCAACAATTTCTTTCCCTCTGAGGGAAAGATATTTTTTTGATAACCGATTGAAATTACTGGCCTGGAATTGAATTATGTGCTTCATGCTGCAGATAAATATAGATTAAATATTTTCTTTTTCTTAACTGGGTCTTTTCTTTTAAAAACAAAAAATTGTCTTTGTCTTGTAGTTCTTTGCATATTGGTCATATGGTCATATGAACTATGTGATAGATACCTGCTACCCTTTTGATTATTCCAGTATCACTTACGATAAGGGGACAGCTGTGTATATCATAATATTACACATAAGAGTTGGAATGCATACATATTTCAGTGACACAAGTATGTAAAAAATGTAAATAATTAAAGAATTTTATATGAGGAGATTGTGAATCTTGTTAAATGGATATAATTTAAGTGAGTAAATAGGAATCTTCATTGCTAGCATTACAAAAATCTCAAAAACTTCTGGAGGCGGAGTCTGGTAGAAAATGCTGAAACACCAAATCCCAGACTTTGTAGAATAAAAAGTTGATGAGAAATTATTTTGATTTCCTCACTCAGAGTTTAACTGAACCCTTCACATTTCTAACCATCTATCTACAGAATGAGCATCTTTGACCATACTTAGGCCAGACTATAAAATGAAAAAAAAAGCCAAGACCTATTTGCTGGACTAGGGTTATGTGGGATGGGTCAGTACACATCCATAAGGCAAAACTCCTTTTTCTTCCTCCAGAGATGGGGCCATGCCCAAATGGCCTGCAGGAAATGACCATTGATTTGTGACCTGAATGATATCCAGGTTTCATCTGCATGAGGACTAGCTGATATGAAGCATGAATGAATAAGGAGGTGTGCTAAAAAGTTCTGAAAATAAGGAGAGTCCCAGGGCAAACCCTTCTTTTATTTGAGACAGATTTTTATTTTTATTTGAGATAGATTTGACATAGATTAAGACAAGTCATTCTTTGGCACAGATGTTCTGAGTCTTGATAGCACATAAGGTAGTGCGGTGAAGACTAACACCTGTTTTGTTCCTGCAAGCCAGGTGAGCACACTATTAAGGAAAGGAGGACACAGACCTCTGTCTTTCATCTGCTCTCCCTCTACAAGACATTTAAAATGCTCTTGGAATTCTTTTGTTCGGTTTTTCTGTTCCAATGTACATCATCAAAGACAAGTATCAAAACATTTTTTTTTTGGCCAAGTTGAATTCTTGTTTTCTAGCCAGCTCTACATCCAACTGCCGTGATTAGAAACAAAAGAGCAAGAAATTCTATCTTCTGTGTGACAGAGAAATTTTCATTCACTTTAATGGGTGAGGAATAAACCTCTGTTATATGTAGACATACACCTCTAGGTGTATAGGCATAGTAGTGAACCCAGAGTATCATGTTTTCTGAACTAGACCTTGAACCTATGGAAATAATTGAGGTTCGGTAGTTTTGGATCAGATCCCCAGTATTAAATGCAGGCATCCACAGTCTTTGAGGTCTTCTCCTTGTCAGAATATTCCCTTCAGTATCACCCAGTCTGCTTGCTGCTTCTGTCAATGACCTCCTCACATTGCCAGAGATTGAAGATGATGAGTTGTTTGCCAAAAAAAGGCAGTGTCTGCTTTTCTCCAGGACCTTCATTTTTAAACAAAGCAGTAGAAGAAAAAAGCTTTATCTTCTTTACCCATCCTCAAAAGAGACACTGAGTTAGTAAACTCTGAACAAACTCAATTCTGCCATTCTGCCACTGTTCACAGGAGAATTTTCTGTTTCTAGGTATTTTACTGACATGCAAATGTGTTTTTCTTTGGGCTGACATAAGAAATGAATCAAACTACATAATAAGTGTAGATAATAATTTATAAACACAGTGCTTATCAATGTGCTTTTTGGTTTTAATTGACCTTCCATTATCATTGATTTTTTTTCTACTTTCTCTGATTCTGACTTTATCTTTTGGATATTTTTTTTTTCATTAGCATTTACTTTTTTCCTTTCCCTTGCAGAGTTTATACTATTCATCCTACAGCTCAAAAATGTTAAACTAATTTCACTCACCAGTTTTGGCTTAGTGTGTTCTTCTGATTATCTTCTGGTATCCTTGCCAACACGATCCCCACTTCTTACTAACTTCTAATCTGCAAGAAAAATTGCAATAGAATTTCAAATCCCATGTGTTGAAGAGTAGTGTGAGAATTTTGTTAAATAGTGGGAAATAAATAGTTTACAAGTGCACTAACTAATAGTCTTGATTTCTTCTGCCATAAACATTTAATGAAGAGATCAGGAGAATGGCATTTGAGCTGGAAGTCTTTATGGGTTTAAGGATTGTGAATGGCACTCTGGTAGCGATCTGTGTTCTTAAGAGCCTATCAGACTTAAGTTATACACCTTAACATCGACAATAATTTTTATATTCTTCTCTTGATTAGAATTAGTGATGTGAAATTGTTTGGGAGTGACAACTTTCTGATTTCCTAATGCATTTTTCTTCCATAATTCTAGTGGTCTAGGTTTATACTGCAGGTTAGAACATTATGGTATAAAATGATTAGTTTTGAAGTTACTTTATTTCTCTAATTTTTGTTTTCTAGATAAAGCTAATGCCTCCAGCTCCAAATGATGACCTGGCTTCTCTGAGTGAGCTAACAGACAGCAGCCTGCTTTATGAGATTCAGAAGCGCTTCAATAATAATCAGATATATGTGAGTTGCTATTCACCTGTCAACAGTATGCTTTCAAAAAAAGAGCAAAGAGAGAATAGAAAAAATAAGATTACTATCATAACTACTGGGCAGTGACCTGCCCTGAACTCATGACTAATTTTAAATAGATCAGAGCATATGTGTGTGTGTAAGCCCTGCAGCTTCTGAAGTTTAGGTAAGAAAAGGAGAAATAAAAAAAGGAATATCACTTCAGATAGTTTTGGATATAATTTATGTGTGTTTATTTCACAGAGGAAGTATATTGGTAAACGCTGATGTCATGAATGAGTGTTTAAAGCTCATTCAGATGATAGTGTGGCCTGAGGGGCAGTGCACCACAATGTGTAATCTTCCTACTCAAGCCTCCAAAAGATCCTTGAAGCTTCCTACTTCATGTTTGTGATGCTTAATAGAGTTTCATTCTTCAGGAAAACCCAACAGTGAAGTCAGAGTAGGTGAGAGAGGGGAAATATATTACTACCTCTTAGAAGAAAAACAGTACTTTTACTATGAAAGGCAATATTTTCTGCCTCCTCAAATCAAGCTGCTTCATTTTGAAAAAGATAGCATGACTGGAACCTTGAAGATCATCTAGTTTCAACCCTCCTGCCATGGCCAGGAACACTTTCCGCTAAGCCAGGTTGAGCTCAGAGCCCCATCCAACCTGGTTTTGAATATCTCCAGGGATCTGACATCCACAATTCCTCTGGGCAACCTGTTCCAGTGCCTCACCACTCTCACAGTAAAGAAGTTTTTTCCTAGTATCTAATCTAAATCTCCTACCTTTCAATTTAAAACCATTACCCCTCATTCTGGGACACTTCAATCCCTGATAAAGAGTTCCTTTGTATCCTTCTTGTAGGCACCCTTTAGGTCCAACCCTCTGATCATCTCTGTGGCCCTCCTCTGGACCCACTCTAACATGTCCATGTCTCTCTTATTCTGGGGGCCCCAGAGCTGGATGCAGCAGTCCAGGTGGGCTCTCACAAGTGCAGAGCAGAGGGTCAGAATCACTGCACTCGACCTGCTGGCCACCCTGCTTTTGATGCAGCCCGGGATACAATTGGCTTTCTGGGCTGAGAGTGCTCATATCCAGCCTTTCATCCACCAATATCCTCAACTATGAGAAGAAACATCTTGCAAACTTTGCCATCATTAGATGGTTTACTTCTTTTTAATATAGTCAGGATAGTTTTATCTGCATGCATTTTCATATGTCCATGTACAGATGTACTTTCATAAACACTTATATGTGTATCAGTTGCTCTATCTTATCCCACAAGCAACATGTTTCAGTGTATTAGTTCTGGATAACCAATATAACATTTCTAAATTATGTCATCTATCCCACTTGAGCAGCTTGTTTTTCTGGTAGGCATGTCACATTTTTGTAGTTTAGCAAATGCTAAATTACAAATTAACTTTCAAATAATTACTAATAATATATGCAGTGCAGTTTTTCTGTGCATAATTTTTCTCGTGAAGAACTCAGTTTTGTTACAAAAAGAGTCATTAATTCTGTACGAATTGTAAATTTAGTCCTAAAGTTCAAACTATGAGGTTATAAGCTCTGAATTCATGAATTATGCGTAGCATGTTGATAACTAGATTTAAGAAACTTTGCCAAGAGTTCTCTCTGGAAGAAAACCATTAGCCTCCTTAAACTTTCGATTTAATTTTTAATAAAGCAACTATATCTTCTTTTTTCAGACCTACATTGGTGATATACTGTTGCTCGTTAACCCATTTAAAGAACTTCCTATTTATTCTACCATGGTAAGCATTCTCTTTTTAAAAGATTGTGGATATTTTTTCAGGATTCCTATAGTTCATTTTGCAGGCCAAACTCCTAAAATTAATTGACATATATGTGCTTTTCATGTTGGGAGCATCTTAGTTTTAATATTTTAGCAAAAATCTTTAAATTATTTCCAAACTCTAGTATTTTTCCTGTGTCTTATTTGTAAAACAGCCATCTTGAAAATGCTTTAGGTTGCACTCCCCTTGTCCAAAACGTGATTACAGAGATAACAACCTTGAGTGGTGCACAAAGGCTCAAAATGTCTGTCTATGCTCCACATCAGGGCTCTCAGTTCGGGAACTGAACAGCAACGAGTGCAAAGTGCTCAGCATGAGCTTAGCACTGCACTGAATCAGTCATGGCTTTGGCAAGGGGGGCTTGAGTCCATGTGTGACCTGTCATATGCACAAGGCCACTCTAAGAAGTGCTTCAGATGTTTCTGTCTTATCTTTTTGATCCTTCACTTATGAGACAGACCAGCTATTTGCAAGGGGCTTGTAATTTCAGTACCCAGATGCTGATACTAACCTAAGAGGGTTTTGTAGATCTGTGGGGGTAACATAAATTCAAATGTATTGATCTCTCTATCTTCACCTAGACATGTTAGAGATGCAGTAGAGATGCAGTGTTAGTATAACTATAGTTTATCCTCCCCTCTTATTTTCACATTGATGCACTGAGGTCATGGAGATCAGGCTCCCTGATAGGTAATGTTCAAATATGAGAATTATATTTAACTTAAAAGAATTTTAAAAAGTTAAAGAATTGGTAAGCAAATTCTAATCTGTGTCTGTTTGCTACGTCATGTGGCTTTGTGTATATCAGTAGTAAATTTGAGAGAAAAAAATGCTGTGACATTCATGGCAGGAGCAGCAGATTTCAAGTTGGGAGTCTGAATTTATTTCTAGAAATAGAAATAATCCATCACCTCCAAGGTTTTAGATTATTGTATTTTTTGCTGTCACTGTGTATTTTACATTAAACACATGATTTTGTGCACCAAGAGAGAATGGTAAAGAGTATAGGTGATAGGCTTACATATTAAAATGTTTCCTGATTGTTTGCCGCACCTTTTCTTGTCTTTTCTGTGATGGATCTATTTCGTTAAGTATAGCATGAGACTCTTTTTGTCCAGCAATTGTTTGGGTCACCTTGGATAATAATTGCTTTTACTGCATCACTATCATTTGCACACTATTGTGCATTATGCAGGTATTTCCCAGATGATAAAAAATCATGGTTGTAAAATCACTTTGTGTTTGCAATGCTCAAATATACTGCAGCACCTTAGCTGATTAATAAAGTCTCTAAAAGTCAGATGTCCTGTATATTCAAGTAAAGAAAATTGATGATGTCAATTCCTGAAGGAGATGTTGACATGCTCTATGATGTGGCTCATTAGTTAGCATTTTTGTTTCAGGCATGTAGTTTGTTAGCTGTCAAGAAGAAAAAGAATGCAAACATGTATTGGGCAAGATGCTATTTTTAAAATCACAATGAAGCAGTGAAAAGATTATCATGTGTTTTTCAATAACATTTTACATTTCCTTCTCTTTTTAAAAATACTTTTCATAACTTCTCAACAAGCATAATTTTATTATCCTACACTGAACTCCCACACTTAGTTCCAGTAGAATACTAATAAAATAAATATTTTTATAAGCAATCATTCACTCTGAGATGACAAAGAATTCTGAATTAATGGACACTGATATATATTACTTCTTATGAAATTTAGTGCAATTGCTAGATGATAATATTATTGCACTTTTGTTTGGAAATACACTGTAGTACTACACTACACATTATAGTAGCATTAGTAACTGCAGAAGTCTTGTGCTATGGTCATTTGTGCCTGATAAGGACAAATATATTCTAAAGTTCATGTTAGAAAAATATGTAAATTAGCAACATTTTGCAATGAGTGTTAGTGTGTGAAGGTTTTTTTTTCTGCTTTGTGACATTCTGAAATGATTCCTGGGGACTCGGTGTGGATTTAATCTTCTTCAGTCTGGCAACTCAAAAGGCCTGAATGAGAACGTATCATGGAGAATTCATTCAGCTACAGCATTGTAGACGCCCCGAGATTGAATAGTTTAATATCTAAATAAATCAGACAGGTGTGGGACAGAAAGGGGTAAGGACATCAGGATATCCTTAGAGGGGAAAAAAAAGTGGTTTCTCAGCAGATAATTGGTTCTACTCAGGCTTTAAGGATAGTATATGTTGCCAACTATGTGTATCAGGAGTTATCCTATATTGCAGAGAGAGTATTTGTGGGCAACTGCTCTGTCATGTAATAAATAAATTAGTTTATAACATGCCTTTGATTTCAATTCTAACTTGTCATGTGCTGTTCATATTTCATTTTGTAAGATTTTCGAGTCAAGACACTGAAGAACTATAAATGTAAGGTATATAAAAGTAACTTACTAGGTTTTGTTTTACTTTATGCACAAACTAGTAGTGTTAAGCCCTCCAGTTATGTTTAATTTTGTATCTGTATTAGACCTTGTTTGCTTATGGCTCTATTTTCTTAATTAAAATCTTCATAGGTGCATAACAGTATCACTTACATATATAGAGACATTCTGTTCACAATGCTTAGAGAATTTTACAAAAGACCCAAGATTAACAGGGTGGAAATCAGTTTGAAATGTATTGATCATGTTAATTTTCTACAATTTTTCAGGTCACCCAGCTTTATTTAAGTAACTCTGGAAAATTGTGTTCCTCACTTCCCCCACATATATTTTCCTGTGCTGAAAGAGCTTACCACATGCTATTCCAGGAGCAGCGTCCCCAATGCTTTATCCTCAGGTGAAAATTTATCTTTCTATTAATTAATTTTTACGCCCTGTCTTTCAGCTGTTTCCCTTGGGCCTCAGCAGTTGAAATTCTCATTTATTTTTTTCTCCAACTGATTTTTTTTTTCTATGTACTGATCTCTGTATCATACATTAGAGCAAAATAGAAATGAAAAAGGTTTAATTACATCTCAAGTTCATAAATTCTCTTGGGGACTTGCCACTCCATGTAGCTGCATCTAATTAGGAGCAAGAGTTAATGGTAAAGAATTCAATACTGCTATGTGTGTTTGCTAATATTACATGAATCAGGATTAGAAACAGAATCTATTAACAAAAAAAAATGATAAGTCCTTGACTAAGTTATAAACCTCTGAGTTGGGGCACCTGTATTGGAGCTTGCAGTCTGCTTTATATGTTTGTGTGGTCTTGAGTTTGTTATTTAGCTCTCCAAGCTCAAAATGGACTTTTAACCTTTAACCTTCTTTCAAAGTGTTGTTTCAAAGATAAATAATTTCAAGATTGTGAATGAATTTATTAGTAATGTGAAACAGAGTTTCATCCAAATATGCTGGTTTTCTAATGGTAAAACTGTGCATTCACTTGGAACTTTTTGATCCCTAAATCTTAATCCTATGTGAAAGCAGTGAGTCTGGTGAAATTGATGAAGTCAGTCAAATAAATTTGTTGCTTGGTCTTGTCCCTTTGGTGATTGCTGTTGGCTGAAATACTGGCAAAAGTTTACAGAACTTCATGGCAGATGGAAAAAACTCACTGAAAACAAGTTTATTTTGATTTGGCCCAGAGTAAAGGTTGATCCGTTTGATAAACCTATTTGCTCTTAAACTACCTTTAATTATAAAGAAAATTAATACTATAAAATGGAGATGACTTGATACTTAAAAGCAGCTAATAACATTGGTTAAGTTCATTTAGTAAAATCTAAATAATTAATGTCTGGAAAGTGAAGGTGATGTAGGAAATTTCCATTAGTTTTCTGACAACAACAACAACAACAATAATAATCAGCATCATCATCCTCATCATCTGGAAAATATGTGTGATGTAGCTCTAGTTACTCATCCACCCTATTGCTGTCACCTGCTGACGTGTGTATGCATGAATTTCTGTGTGTGGTCAAAATGTATTTCTGCTTTATTGCCATTTCAGCTGCAAAAATCCATTCATTATCAGCAAGAGAAGCTTCTTTCACTACTGTGGGGAATGATTCACTGGTTATGCCTATGCTAATAGACAGCATGGAGCAGGGCTTACTCTCTGGCTTTCTAGGAAGCCTAAAGGTAGTTTACAGACCTGTTAAAAACTAAGGATCCTTAATCAATATGGCATGCTGATGGCTAATTTTGAGAATCAAAAAAATCATGATGAATACATAAAATCAAATGTTATAACTTTGTTAGCAAGTGGGAATGTCAATATCCAATGATTTTGTTGTGATATAAATTGCATTTTTAAGCGAGATAATCTGAATGGAGAGAAATCCTTGTATTTTAAAGTGGGATGCATTGAAAGCTTTTGATTTCCTCCCTTTAGCATCACCAAAGGCATTCTGTTCAAGATAAAAGTATTTATTATTTAAAATTATAACTCATTACATTGTAAGTGCAATGTCCTGCAGTTATTTGTAGTAAAATATTGTTTAGAAACAGACTTTCCAGTTTAATTTACTTTAGAAATATAATTTTCAACTAACATGCAGGGTTGTTTAGTTACAGATAGCAGTACTAATAATACAAAACACATTCTTTTATATTTAACAGTCTTGCTTGCACATATTTGTTTCAAATCTAGAAACCTCAGTCATGGAGCAAGACCCAATGTCTGACTTACATACTCTACAAATTCAGAAGAAAGAAATTATTCTGACTCCTAAAAGTTTACAAGCTAATTAGCTCTTCCCTGGATATATCTTACTATTTGAACAAGAATTTAAAGTAGTAAAGCTCACAGTTTAGGGTGGTACAATAAGAGATTGGTTTCAGAAGTTCATACAGAACAGCATACCTATTTTGCTGAACTAAGTCTCCCCTTTAATCTGGTGTAAATCCCATATGAACACATTCTGTCAGCAGTTTTCCAGCATTTCTGATTGTAGTGTAAGTACTGCAGGAGTAAGTTTTTTTGTTTGTTTTGTTAAGTATTCCTGCACTTCTGAATGTGGTACCTTTGGTCAGAGTTGAAAATGAAGTGCAGGCATTTGTGTGTTCTGAAATAGCAGGTATATTGCTCCTTTCATGTTTTATATTTTGTCGTATTTTGCCTAAACACGAGATTTATAGAGTTTATTTATACTGGAATTGACACTTGACAAATAATAATAATCATATAATGATCCAGTGTTTTGAATTCATAAAGACATAGACAAACCTGGCTAATATGCAGAAACTGAGGGTAAGCAAGATGTACTTCTCAGTACTTGCTGAAAGTAATTCTTAAAAATTGCTGGGGCTGGCTGTTTTCTGACTAATTTAGCTGGACCTCCTTGATTAACGACCATGTGATTGTTCTATCTGTCCATCTACAAGTCCCCCTCCGCCCAATAACTTTTGAATCAGTAGCCACCAACACCCATCGTGGTCTCAGAGCTGGGGTGTTCACACAGGCTTTGTGGTTTTTGGGAGTCATGGCAAAGGCACATGCTTAGCATGGAGCTCACCGGAGTGAGTGGCACGAGCAGCCCAGCTGGACTGGCACAAGATAGCAGAAGAACTGGATGATAATCCAAATGCAGTGGATTTGAAGGGTATAGCTTCTTTAGTTCCCCTGGGTGCGTAGTCTTGTGTTCTTTGCTTCACGTGCCTTTGTATTTCCATACTTTGTTTTTCCTAACAATGCTAGATTTGAATTTTTTATTTCAAAACAGATTTTTTTTAAATTATTCATATTATTTGAAGGTATAGAGACTAAAATTGTAATTAAGGTTGTATTAACAAAATATTAATAAAGAATTAGTAGGAAACAGGATCTCCATCACATAGTTATAAAAGAAGGCTGGAAAGCCAAAGGAGGAATAAAGTGAGAAAACTTAGGGGAACTTACCTAAAGCCATGTGTGAGCATAGGATTTAAAATTCTCCTTTTATTTTCCTTTCTTTTGGAGTACACTACCTCTAATTTAACCTTTTTTATCAGAGAAATAAGACTTCTTTGCTTTGGCAAAGATGTTTCATAATGCCTTCTATGGAAGTTTTAGTGCAGAAGAATGCTTTCCTGCTTCAATGCTAACTTACCTTACACCTTGATAAGGCAGTCCAACCAACAGCTATAAGAAACCAACATTCATATTGTAAATCACCCCAGTACCGACCCCTGAGGGACATCACTCATCACTGGTCTCCATGTGGACAATGAGACCTTGACCACAACTCTTTGTGTGCGGCCATCCAACCAGTTCTTTATTCCCCAAGTGGTCCATTCATCAAATCCATGTCTCTCCAGTTTGGAGACAAGGATGTAGTGCAGGACAGTGTCAAACACTTTGCATGAGTCCAGGTAGATGAAGTCAGTTGCTCTGCCCCTCTTCACCAGTGGTGTAGCCCTGTCATAGAAGGTTACCGACTTTGTCAGGCATGATTTCTCTTTTGCAAAGCGATGTTGGCTGTTACCTATCACCATGTGCCTTAGCATAGTTTCAAGGAGAATCTGCTCCATGATCTTGCCTGTCACAGACGTGAACCTGACTGTTCTGGTTCCCCAAGTCTTCTGCTTTCCCCTTCTTAAAAATGGGTGTTATATTTCCCTTTTTTCAGTCATCAGGGACTTCTCCTCACTGCTATGATTTTTCAAAAATTGTGGATTGTGGCTTAGCAACTTCATCCGCCAGCTCATTCGGGACCTGTGGATGAATCTCATTGGATACATCGACATGGATTGAGGATGACAGCCATTGCAGTCTTGGACCATAAACCTCCTACTAATGCCCATAGGAGTTTGAAGTCCAGTGTCAGAACCACCTCATTACAGAAACATTGACAACACAGATAAAAGCAGTTTGACTCATCACATATAGTAATGACATGCCTTGTAATGTAAGAATAAAGTTTTACATGAGAACAGGATATTCACCAGAGCTGCGTGTATGTCCCATGAGAGTTGAATGAGATTAAATACCACAGAGATCCCACTGCTATCTGAGTATGAAGTCCTTTTTGTCCTTCCCCTTATTTAATTGATTTCTCCTTTAAAGTGATATTTGAATAGATAAAGCAATGGTCAGACAGATACTATCTTTTGCTGCATCTCATTTTCAGAAACTAAACTACACAAGTAACAGATTGACTAGCCATCATGGCCACTGTACCAGTGAAAAATTTAACTGGCTGTTGTAGAAACAGCCTTTTAAATTTGATCAAGCCAATAAAGGAAGGAGGAACATCAAATTGCATTTTATTTGGTTCAGTTGTCTATAAAGAAAACAACTTCTTATAATTCAATTAAGAAATTCTTACATGGATTTCTTAATAAGGCCTCACTAGCTTTATCCTTTCCATCTCTTTATTTATTTTTCCTTCCTTCTTCATGCTTGAAGTGCACCATTGATTTTGCTTCCTCCATCTGTCCCTGCACATTTCCGTTATTTCTTCCCACCTTCGTTGTTCTTTTGGCTTTATCTTATTTTCTTTGCTCACTTTCCCTGTCAGAGATTCTCGTTCTTTTGAACATTTATTCTACATCATGAACAGGGAATCACAGTGATCTGAACAGTATTGCACTGCAGAAATGGGACAGGTTGTAAAATCAATTATCCTTTTCTTTCCTGTTCCTTTCCTTTTTTCTTTCCCTTCTTCCTATCATATTCTCCACTTTCCATTTCTTCTGATTCCCATCATTACCACAGTAATATTTCCCCATCTGCAAAGAGAACTAGGCGGCATAAGAGGGCTCCTTTGCTGGAAAAAAGATAAAGATAACATTTATGTTATAAATACCTCCAAAGTGGCTAGAAAGCTTTAGATTTGATTGGTTTGACTTGTGGAACAAAACAGTGTATCTTAGCTCTGACAACCCTCATGAACATTGGCAGCCAGTCTCTCTCCTATGTTCTGTTCTTTATTTGCCATCCATAAACCTACTGTTATTTGAAATGAAAGTTTGACAGAGCTAACTTAAATCTATTCAAACACAACTAGCAGAGAATTTAAAGAATAACTTCATTGTGAAACTAACAATGATTCCTCCCTCTCTTCCTTGACTGTCATTTTGCAGTGGAGAAAGTGGTTCTGGGAAGACTGAAGCCTGCAAACAGATAGTGAAACACCTCACTTGCAGAGCCAGCTCCAGCAGAAATACCTTTGATACAAAGATAAAACATGTAAGTAGCATTCTGATCACTGAGTAGAACAAAGCAGAAATTTAGTCTCTTGAAAAAGGAAAGAGATTTGAACTGTAAGGAAAAAGGCATCTGCTCCGCAGAAATTCACAAAGGGTGTTTTTTTTCACCATTGAAGTCAAAGGAAATTTCTTTCCCTCTATTTCATTCCCTGAATGGGAACAAGATTAAGCTCATACTGATTCAAAAGTGTTGTTTCTATATGTTTTGATGACTTTGGAAATCAGTGTTACAGTTAACGGGAAACATTTGTGTGATAAGGAACTGTTTCCAAAATGTGTATTAATTGCCTTCTGTAAATAAATAAATTTGTCTCTATGATGTGGTGGTGCTTGTCTGGACAGTATATGACATGCTGAGACATCTGAAGTAGTAGCATGTAAGATAGAAAGTGTAAACTTGCAGGAAAAATGCAAGGATTAAACAGATATATGACTCTGTATTTATGTACTAAATATATTAAAGAAATAGGCAAGAGTTTTTTGCTATTTTTTCAGTCATATTTCATTTCCAAAATATGTATTGCCATATCCCCATATTTAATTCCCTACAAAGGTTCATACTGGCATTTTAAATTATGCAAACTCTGAATTGCCAATTCAAATTCTTTAAAAAATGGCCTTTCCCAATGAAACCTCTTATTTGAGATCCCAGCTCAGAGACAGATTTAAACAGAAAGTTTTAGCCCAGTCTGCCTTGTCGTTGGTCAGTTCTGATTTTACACTTTAAAAAAAAAAAAAGTTTAGCCTCTTTCACCTACTCTGATGATCTTCTTCTACAAGGCTTACAGTCAACCCAAGGTACTTTTGGGGTACTTTTTGTGGTTTCACATGCCACATGCATGACATTCAAAAGAATTCTAGAATTGTTCGTTGTGGGGTTTTTGGTAGTGTCATATAAATCACTCAAAACACACTTTCTTCTGAATTATGTATGATTTAGTCCAGAAAGATGATAATATACTTTGGAAGTACAACTGCCACTAACAGACAACCTACAAATTAGGATTATTGGGATGTGAGAAAGGCTGCAGATACAGTGATTCATAGTTTGTACATTACAGATGATAAGGTAATACAGATCCTATGGATTTTGGGTGGATTTTAGAAGAGTTTTGCATTCGTGTTTTTTGAATACATGAAAAACCTGATGACAGTGAAAACACTACAAATGAATAAGTTGTACCTCTATTTTACTTCATGAAGTCATGCAATTGCCATGTTAATGTTTTTCATGGTATTGTCTTGTTCATTGATGGTATTCCTAAAATGAGACATTTAATCTAGGTTTCACATGCAATGTTAAGAATATTCTTGCTATTTTCTCACTTTTTTTCTGAGCTTTAAAGTCTAGTGTTGGAATAATACCATAATATAAGGACAGTGCACTTTTACTATATTTTTAAACCCAGGAGCCATATCTACAAACTGTATTTATTTCTACTGTGTATCCTTTTTTTTACTACCTACACAAGTTTACTTACAGTTTTGAACGGATCAGGCCATGGATGTTATTCAAGTAGGACTGCAAAATTCAGGTCACATCATCCAAGTCCTTTTGTTTCCTTAAGTTCAGATTAAGTAATGAGTAGAAGAAGTAACTAAATCAGTAACTTTGTAAATAAGCAGATTAAAACTGTATGCTTTGGATGGAAATATGACAGCAGGGAATCAGGAGGTGTGAGAAGTACTATTGTCTTTACTGTAACTTTTCTCCTGAACTCAGGAAAATTCCCAGGGACAACCATCATGGTTGTCCATCATGCAAATGGAGCAAACTGTGTTCAGTTAAGAGAAGAAACTAGTGTGGGAGGGACCAGACCAGGCCTAATTTTCTCGAACTAAAAATACTTTAATTTTGTAAACTCCTTTAACTTACTTTATGCAGTAAACAACAACAATCCTTAACAAACACTTGGCTCCCCGCTCCCTGACGTAGCAGTCCTCTGGTCACAGTTCAGAAGACAGCATGTGCCAGGGACCATTCACAACATTATGTACACCCTGATTTGCCAGAGATGTTAGATCTCTGAATTCGAGCCTTATCATGCCACTTGCCACTGACGTTAGAGTCCTGCTCCTGGTCTTGTTTTGTTTAATATTATTGATGTAGCCCTACATATCAATAAGTCTTAATCAATGCAGGAAGAAAGATGCCTTACAACTTGCTTAGATAGGATATCTGACTTCAGATAGCAAAGATACATGTAGCAGATCTCACCCATGGAGAATAAAGTAGAGATTCTGGTTTAGGTGCCTTTAAAGATGCCTAATGAGCACAGTACCCTGGATTCATTTCTGCTGCAGTCATGCGTAGCACCATTAAATTAATAAAGCTGTTCAGGTTAAACCGAGAGCAAATACATTCTAAACAACGCTACTGGAGTGGAACTGGAAACAAAACTAAGCTGAATAGTTTACTGCTGCCACCTACTGCACAGACAGCTGCTTTAGCTACTAATTCTTAAGGGTTTGGTTTTTAGAGCATCTTTCTTTGTGATTGGAACCACGTTATCTGTGCCACTCCACATTTCTCTTCCCTCCCCAGCTAGATCATGCAACTTCATGGAAAAAGGTATATTACAACAGAACTGTATTTGGGTCACATTGCAAATCAACTTCTAAGGATGCAGAGGAATCCTTCAGGGTATAAGGGGTGTAATCAACTAATTATACACAGAAGAGCTAAATACAGAGAAAACATAGAATAAAGCTGGCATATTTAATGTGTTGGTTTTGTTTTGTTGTTTGTTTTTTTTTTTAATGCTATCTTGAAACAACTGCTGTGACTATGAAAGTGTAACATGAAAATGCATTAATGAGAGATGCCATAAAAATGTGAATCTATTTTTTTCCTCAGTTTTTCACTAGTATTATGATAAAGTAATTCTATATGAAGTCAGTAATTCATGCAATTTCTGACATCATATAATGCTTGTAAATTCCTTTGGTTGGTTATTAATATTGACTGACTTTAACTTCATAATCTGCCTTCAAAGATTCTAGTATTTTTACTAGGGATACCAGCTCTGGGCACATGACTACAGTCACTCATATCCAAACTGATGGTAAGGGTATAGCTGACATGTGAACTGTTGTCTTCCACCTTGCATTCACGACTTCTATTATTCTGACATAATTTTTAAAAAATATATATATTTATTTTGAGCTATCTTACTTTAATTTCTATTTAGGAAAAAAAAAAAACCTTCCAAGGATTTTTTTAAATTCCAAGATGAAAAATGGTCTTTCCCCCCTCCCCCCATTTATTAATCACAAATCAACCATTGCTTCTTTACCATCTTTTTGCAGGTAAATTGTATCTTGGAGGCCTTTGGACATGCTAAGACACCCTTGAATGATTTTTCCAGCTGTTTTATAAAGTATTTTGAGCTACAGTTTTGTGAGAGAAAAAAAACATTAATTGCAGGTAAGTATCACGTAATCTGTTTATTTTGATATCACCCACAGACTATTAGATCAGGGATCCCAGTGTGCCATACAGAGTTGGACAGCAAGGGCTTTAAAGTATGTGAAAAAGGCGAGGGGGCTTCAGGAAGCGTCAGAGGAACATGTTTAATAGCAAATTAATTGATAGCCTGTCAGGAGTGAGCAGTTTTCAGTTGTTCTGAGCAACCACTAGGTGGCAGAGAAAGACAAGAAAAAAATTGACACCACTGATTCCTCATATTTCCCAGGAAATCACGTTTTTCTTTATTTCCCAGATCAATATACTGAGGAAGCTGAGTGTTACATCACTGTGAAAATAAAGTAACAAAGAGATTAAGTTTTGCATTTCTACCTTATATTTTATTTGGTATTTTAAGAATCCCATAAATTACTGAGTGATAATATAATCTGTTTAGGCAAAAGACCCCAAGTATTTTCTACAGTGCTGAAATTGGAAGTGTCTTCCAAAAAGAACTAGGAATCATGTTGATGATTTTTTCTCATTAGAGGCAAAATGGCATGAAATTTGTGCCTGCTTCCAGAGTAAGTGTTAGCCCTCTAATCCCCAGTATGCGTTCATTAGTGAAAAAAACCAAGCAAGATAACTGAGAAAAACTTCAGTTTGATTCTGAAAACTCTATCTGGTCCACATAGGTTGTCGTAAAGTTACTCAGTGTCAAAGCAAGGTATGTCTGCAGAAATAAGCACGCACAGACAATTTCCTGCTTGCACTAATCTTTTTGAATGGAGAAGCTGTATGGCAAGACACACTTTTGTTCCAAGTAAATTAGGTTCCATTAGATAAACATTTCAAAATCTTTTTTCTTTTTTTTTTTTTTTTTTTAAATATTTTTAATCATTTTTATGCTTTCTGAACAGTTTCCTAAAAAAGTTCTTTGGAAATATTTGTCAGTGGGAATTACAATTCCTGCTTTTGTGACAGTTCATTATATGCTAGCAAATGTGATAGTTTCTTCAGTGAAAATGTCACTGCATGAGCAATTGCTAACACTTTGTTTCTGGTTTGTTTTACAATGAATGTAGGATAATTGTAAAGGAAAAGCAAAGTGATTTTAGGTTTTATGTATGAACTCTTGTGGGAGGAAAGTAAAGTGATGTATACATTAACGTGGACTGAAAAGCACCTGAATTGAGCTTGTAAAAATAAAGCTCAGTCCCTAAAGCTAATATTTTATGAATCCTTTGTATCATATATATTTGATTTGAGTATCTTGAATTTGCAGGGACTTGAGTTTTCAAACAACTTTGCCCGGACTTGCCAGTTTAGTTCTTAGCCCTTTTCTGTGATGGATATAAATGTGGAATCAGTTAACCAGGTTCTTGTGTCAGTTTTCTGGTAGACTAATTCGGTGTTTTTATCATTCTCAAACCATAGGCATTAAATGAGAAAATCTAGGGGTAGTCAGGTCCATTAAAAAATATAAGCAAATTACTTATATGCCCTACTATTCCCCAATTATTTAGGAATTGTATCATTTACCAAATCTAAGGTAGCCAAAAGTTACATAATTTGCAGTCAAGAATGAGAAGCCCTGGTACAGCAGTAGAAGTGGGGTTTATATTCTGAAACTTCCAGTTGTCCTACTGTTTGATTTGCATAGTAGATGTTGCCTTTTCCAGGCCACTGCTACACATCACCTCTGAGTAAAATTGTCCCAGATTTACACCATAAATGAGAAAAGGTCATGCATGTTGTCTTTGTCTGGTTTAAATCCCATCCAGTGATTCTCTGTATTTATTCGCAAGATCATTTGCAGCAGTATTTACTGTCTTGTGCTGTTTAAACATGAATGAAAAATATAAGTATGCAGAGCACCTTATTTTACTGAGCCATGATTTTATAACTCATTGATACAAACTGGGCTAAACAAAAAATCGAAGTGACACTAGATTTCCTCCATCAAAAAATGTAGGTGGTTTAAACTCCTCAACAGACAGATCTTGTGGGTGGAGATCCAGAACAATTTGCTAAGAAAGGGTCATGAAAAGTATATGTGTACATTTTTATTATGAAGGACAAGCTCAGTGGTGGCACTCCTTGCATTTTAAGAGGGCATCAGTCAAGTCTGTGACAACTTCTTGTTCATGCTGAGGTTCTTTTATGCTTAGACCCTAGAAATGCTCTGACTTTTGTCCCATAAGTTTTATTCTTATAGCAGAAAGCCCAATATACCTAAATAAATGTTCTCCATAATTTTCATCATCAGGTTTGATTTGGTTTTTTGCATAAACTGTATCTTTGCCACAACATTCTGAAAACAAAGATGGATCTTTTGAGTATAGATCTACGCAAAGCCAGTACAGATATATTTAGAGGTTTTATTTATCTTCTCTGACTCTTGTTTCTGGTAAGGTGTACTGCAACGTTGGGTCCAAATGGGAGTTTTTCTGTCACAAGTGTCTTTGCAGTTAAGTATCTTTATTGCTTTAGTACAGGCAAACAAGTGGAGAGAGTATAACCCAGATTAAGTAATTGTTCTTTGTGACTGAATAAGATAAGACCATGGGAACTAGTAAAAAGTCTTATATTAGAACAAACACAGAAAAAAATACAGGCCAGTGATTTCATTAAGTTTCTAAAATAAATTCAGAACTCAAAGACTGAACTTCTGGAAAAAAAATTATAATCATTCATAGAGAATAATTCAGACTCACAACATAGTGGTAAAAGGCAGATTATTTATTTATTTCCAAAGTGGTCCTTCAACTAAATTGACATAATTCCTAGGATGAAAATTAAGGCTTCTATCAATTCCTCAAGTTACTCAAAAAACAAAGAATAAAAAAGTCTGAAAAAATTGTTCTCCAGATTTTTCTACCTTACTTTCCAGGCCATGTTTTTATCAGTCTTCACTTTTTGAAAAGCAAGGACTGAGTTTTTTCCTTTTTTTTTAAGTACATTGAAATGGACTGACAAATGTTATTTTGTTTTTAGCAATATCTGTGTTTAGGACAGCATGTTTTTTGAGAAGGGACAATGTAGTTTCAAAGAATGCATAGTTGAAAGACAGATTTCACTGACCACACTTTTAATAATCCACTTGGTGACTTTGTAGCTGCTCAGTAGATCAAGTGAGCTGTTAAAGGAAGTACAAATTTGTTTGTGCCTGTAAGCACAATTAACACTGCACAAAAATGAGAGACTTTGCTCTTGACCTCTATTATTTTTTCCCTTTTATTTTACATATATATCAACAAACATGTTTTACTTTGTAGAAAAACATACTACTGTGATAGTTTTCTTTATGAGTTCCTTTAGCACCATTAAGATGGTCCTGTGTTTGATTTTTGGTGTCTGGAAGCTTGGCTTTTTTTAAAAGCTCATATCATTGCTAGAGATGCTAGTTGAGATGAAATGTATTTAGCCTCATTAAAGTGAAGTTGACTTGAAGTACCTGAAAAGAGCTGAATTAATTTGTGTCATCTAAGTAAGTGGTGTTGCCCATCATCAAAGTTAAATGATAGATGACCTTTGATAACATTTTTCTTTCTTTTATTAATCAAAGAATGTTAAAATCACCTGAGTGGTAGTTATGAAAGACTTAGCAAAGAAAATCGCACACAAAAATGTGATTAAAGAGCAGTAGTGGACTCTTTTCAAATTAATTGATGGTTGGGTTAGTTTTACTGAGAAGTAAATTACAAGTGCAATAAAACATAGAAATCATCCTTCAGGTTCATCTATTCTGTTTTATCATGTAGGAATGGCATACAGGTAATGATTGATTCTGATGAAAGTGTGTGTCTGGGCCAATCCTGCCGTGAAAGGTTAAGGTTGCATTGCTTCAATTTGTAGTGTGCTGCAAAGTTACGAGAGCCAGACACATATATGATTTCCCAAGTGTGCCTTTTTACTTCAAGCACAGGTTTGGGTTTTGTTTGTTTTTCTTTTTATGGTGTAGCAGCAGAGTACTAGATGGATAATGCACAACTTCTTGTAATATAGATTCTATAATAGCATTTCACCTCTATATTTTGTAGGATGACGAAATGAGCCAGATTAGGTCTCCTCAGTTCAGCATGTCAGATTTGCAGCTCTTCACTGTTGGTTGTACTTTCTCTTATGTAGCTATGCAGGCATGGTTTTGGTTACCAGCACATCTGTCAGGCCCTGTCTGTGGTATTACATAAAGAAAGTGTACAAGAGGTCACTGGCTAATGCACCACTGACCTTTGCACTCCTTAACTGGGATATGTTCAGGATGGTTTGGCCTCTGCAGAGTAGAACTTTGAGAGACTATGCATAGTTATATTTAGTTCAAGGACAGAGCTTACCTGCTGAGACCTTTCTTTAAACAATGTTGGAGATTCACCCATTTCATTTCCCTGCACTCTACACTGTCTTTGAGCAATATTCTCAAAGGCTGCATTCCCTTTAACACACAATTTCAAGTAACCTCAAGCTTGAACTTAAAGAATTTCAAAAGATGGGAAGATAAATAGGTGGAATTTAAAATAAAATTACCAGACAAACACAGATGGTATAGCGGTAACTAACTAGTGCTAAATGAGCTTCTGTGGGTATTAGCAACTGTATGGTGACAGGAGCATGCTGTTTTGCCCTCTAGCGTAGTCACTAGGCTAAAGCAACTGCCTTGCCTCTGGTACACGTTCTCATGCACCAACCTGCATAACTTTGCTCAGCGTTGCATTGGGCAATACCTGTGAGTCAAAAACTGATTCTGAAAATAATGCTTTAACCACAACTAACCCTATCTTTTAAAGTCTTTAAACACCCACACAGCCTTCAAACTTCAGGTCTCTTAGGCATCTGAAATTGTACTTCCACATATGTTTAGAAGTGCAAAAGTTTTGACTGTACCGAATAAATCAGTGCTATTTTGTGCTTAATCCCAGCTTGCTTCAAAAACATTTAAAAAAAAAAAAAAGAAAAAGAAACTCTAAAAAACCATGAGTGGCACAAAAATTGTATGCATTTAAGAATATCCTAACTCTGCTACAGGATGCATGCACCAGTATTTTATGTGACTATGTGTTCAAGAACTACTTCCAGTTCTTAAAGGAAGGAGTCCTAGATGGGTAGGTTGAAACCCACACTATGGGAAGCTATGGTTTAGTATTCTCCTCTGCTTACAGTGTTTCTAAAATATAGTTCCTCCATTGGTGAGAAGTGCACCTTATGCTCTAAACTCAGCAGTCCTTTCCAGGGTAAGGATTCTCACTAGGACTCTGAAAACTCCACCACACTGCAGAGATTGAAAAGCCTAAAGCTGCAGCAAAATGAACTGCGTTCAAGTGGTGCAGGTGCTCAGTTTTGTGTGAAGGGATACACTTCTGGTCCTTGCACCACAGCTAGTATTTAAGTAATGGTGAGATAAAGTACACAAACAGCAGGGTAAGTGGGAACTGGAATCAGGTTTTTGCTGACAGGGAAGGCCATGACCTCCAGCTGCAGTTTGGTGTTCCCTTGTTCTCTTAGTCTCTTGTGTCTGGAACCGTGTGGTTATGTACCCCCAGTGGAGGGCTGAAGAGGAGACTGCCCAAAACAGTGTCTGTCTCCTCATGTATATCTATAAAATGCCTGTAATCTTGTGAACAGGTGAATGGATCTTGGAGTCCGCTATTTCATTTGCTTCTGTGATTTGCCTCTTTCAGAACCTTAGTGGGCCTAAGGTTATGTATAAGCATGTAAACTGCATTTCTGTAGGCAAATCTCATTCAAATTCATCCTCCTTCAGCTTCTTCCCAGATTGTGCTTATTCACATGGCTTCTTTATCCGGCTCATCACAGCCCTTCTGAGATATCCAAGTTTCCCCAGGCTCAGGTTTGTGAGCTTGTTGATAGCCAGTTCTGTAGAGGAACTTGTCTATTTGGAGCCATCTAGAAGTTAGGTGGTTAATCTGAACTATTAATCGGTCTGTTCTTGATCAACAGCAGAAAAAGAAGTGCTTCTTTTTTTAAAGAAGTCTTGATTCTCTTGCATCTTTTTCTGTTAAGCAGCAGGTTAGAATAGATGTCAATGCTCATACGGCTACACTTTGGTGAGATGGCTAATAGCTTATCTCTCTAATACACTAACTGGTTCATCAAATATATAAATAAAAAAGAGTAAAAATCCGTATCATTATCCTTAAAACTAAGTAGCTTTAAGACAGCTAGTAAGATAATATGGGTTTTTTTCACCAATTTTAATGGAAGTAGGGCTTTATAGGTGATTTATATAGCGAAACATGGGAGTGTGAATGATACTATTAAATTTTATATGTTCCCCTCAGACTGTTTTATAAGAAACATTATTCATGCTTAACTGTTGCAATGGTGAATGGTTTAAAATATGTAAGTTTAGAGCAATTATTATAATGATTAATTTGTATGTTTGTTTTTCAATCAGCTAGGATTTATACATACATGTTGGAGAAGTCTCGTGTCATTATCCAGCCTCTCAACCAGAGTAATTTTCACGTGTTTTACTTGATGATGGATGGGCTGTCTTCTGAAGAAAAATACACCCTGTACCTCAGTAATTTGTCTGCACACAGGTAGGAACACAACTTCGTATTCACTCTTAATATTTTTCTTGTTTAGTACCTTTCTGCTGTTGAGGTCCTTCCTCTAATAGTTAGGACTTTTCAATGAGCTCTGAAATCATTTATTGTGGTGTACCTGCTCATGAGGATTGAATTCTGGAGTGCGTTTATACTCTGCTAACAAGATCAGAGGTTTATATCCATTAGGATTATTGCCTTAAAGGAGAAAAAGAAAGGAAACTTTTTCGTTATTTTTCCATCTTCTGTGGCCTAGAGTAGGTCTGTTGCTTTTATTTCTTCCCTGATGAAAGTTTTTTTCTCCAGAAAAAGCTGTTTTATTAAAATTAGAATTTTATTGTGGAGTATGTTGATTTTGATGAAATTTCACTATAAAACTGGTATTTCCATATTCATTTTGATATGTACTTTACATCATATTAGTAAGAAAAACAGAAACAAAAGTTCTGACTGCTTTGAAACCGAGGATACTATTCAATACCAAATATCTACAATTATGTTTTTGTATGTGTCTCCACACGAGCTTCTTGTCTTGGTTCCCATTTGCAATCAGAGGAGATTGAGTCCCTTTCAGCTGTATATAGAGTTGCATGCAGGTATGTGCTTTGGGGTGAACTGAACCACATTTGTGGCTTCGTGAACTGTGCTGACTACATCCCCTTTGATAGTAGAGCTTAAATAAAAAGAGCTGAATATAGAAAGCCAAATGTAGTGTGTTTAAGGCTGAATATAGTTCAAATATTTACTGTAAGTGGAAGTTTTGGTGGGGTTTTTTTTTCTGGAAATTTTGGTAGTATCTCAAAGTGTATTAATTCAGGTTATTTTAGAATGAAAAAAATATTCCTCACTTAGATAATTTGCCTTTTCAGTCTTTCCTAAGAAATGTCACTGAAATGATAGAAGCCTATTAATGATCTTCTCTTAAATGGGCTAAGTTTATAGTGGGGATAGGGAGTAACTGTAAAAAGACCAATAGTAATTAAAATTCTGTAAAATGAGTGTTTTGAGTTTTTCACATCTAAGCCTTTTTCCCGTGGATTTTTTTCCCAACTTTTTTATCTTCCACTTTGGCTAGTACTTGAATAAAAGAGCAGCTCTATACTTGCAACCTGTAAATAGAAAGACATCACATTAATTTTTGCAGAAAAAAACTTACTTGATTATGATTTTTTCTTAAACAGAAGTCTTCAGACTACCATTGTTTGGTAGTGTTTTAAGCTGTTGGTACTTCTGTGTTGTACAGGATAGTGTAATGCACTAGCTCTGAAGAAACCTGAGGCTAAATTGCTTTGCTAAAAATTATCCACTTCAAAGCAGGGAGGAGAAGAGTTAAATTCTATATATTAAATCCTCTGAAGACCAAAAGTGTTCTAAGTCCCTAAACATTAATTTATTCCTCTTCTGGCATAAGCTGTTTGGAAGCACTCAGATCGTTCAGAAAATGAAACAGTTTGAAGTCACTTCACAAGAAGCTCAAACAGGAAAGAACTTAGCAGAAATCTCAATAATTAGATTCACATGAACAAGGCTTTATCTGATAAGATACCTGATAATCATCCAAAAAGAACAAAATAGTATTTAGAGACATATGTCTGAACATTGCAGTACCAAAGCTCTAGAAATAATTTATAGCTCAATATTTACCTAAACCTGCTTTTATCAATAAAACTTTGCCTTGGCTACATAGAGCAGATTGTATCTTGTATTATTGAGAGAGTGTTAGGGCCAAATATTTTTTCCCTTAAACTCCTGAGTGTAGTACTTCAGTGAGATAGATCTTTCTTACTTGATAAAGTTAAATTAGGGGTGAATTTCTACTGTATCAAACTCATTAATGAATCAGGAAGGCAAGATCTGGCCTCTTTTATAAGTTCATGATTTTTGGTTTAGTCAAATTATAAGATCGTATCATTTTGGTAACATCCATAAGTGAATTTGTCATGTTTTCTTTAAGCAAGTGTAATCTTGACTCTAGTAATAAAATAACTAGATAACAGGCCTTTTGAAACTACAGCTTTTTCCTGCCCAGCTGCCTCTTTGATAATTTTTTTGTTCCTCTTTGCATTGTTTAATATTGTGCCTTTATGTAGAAGATTCAACAGTCTTATTAAATAATAGCTTTTAAGATCAAAAAGACCTTTATTTTTATATAGTTTTTAAGCCATTGTAATAAAAGAAATGATTCTTTTATTCTCATTTTCGATAAAATTATCTTAAAGAGTCATAGTAGTACTGTCAATATTGGTTATTGTTAGAAGTGATGCTGTAAAAGATGAGAAGCAGTTCAAGTTCTAAGAAGTATATAATCCTGGATTCAGACTTAATGTAAGTTGCTTAAAGGGGAAATCCCTCCCCTTTGGAGTCACTAAGAGTTTTTGTAAGGCTGGGATTTCACCCCAATGTGTAAGAGAAGTTGTTAGGTTGTAATTCTCTGGTGTTTGGTTCCGTCCTGAGAGGGAGCTTGAGTTTAGAAACTTATGTGTATGTTCTTGCAAGAATTTTAATTGCTAAGGCATTGCATGAAGATGCTTTCTGTTGAACCTGTCACAGAAGCTAGACACTTTTTATTGAACCTATATACAACTAGGATTTTAAAGTAGCAAGCCATTTAATCTATGTAGGAGGGATCTGAAGCAATATATCTCCCACCATATCTGCATGTGGATCATAACGGATAAAGAAAGAAGCAATTGCTGAAAGGTAAGATCATTTTTCAAGACTGAGCAGGGAAAGCATGTCAGAAATGGAGAGAGAGCCCTGAAAGGGCAAGTCGAGGCTTTTTGATTGACAATTACTCCCATGTATTCGTTACATTCAAAAGCTGATTTTTATCAGCAGATCCTTGATTGAAAAATTCCAAAATTTCTAGTAACTTACTGTGTTTCAAAAGAACTGCAGAACTTTTTTATCTTGATGATGATGATGATGTGTAATACAAATTGATTAGAAATGTGAAGTTATATTCTCAATTTACTCTGGATTTGTTCTGTTTTTTTTTTTCTCTCATTACAGTCTGTGATTATAAGCATTTTTTCTGACGTGAAGTTTAGCCTCACAATAATAGTATGCGCTAGCTTTTCTAGCCTCACAGTAGGTGCTTCCTTAGTGATGAATCTTGCAACCAATGTGAAACAGAGAGCAATATGAGAAGTGACAGGGGTGATAGATTTGTTTCTAAATGGTCTTCTACTCTGATGAAGAAAGGATAGGAGTTGAAAGGAGAGATCAGAATTACAGGAAAGAAATTATGGGGGAAAATCTTACAGAAGATAAGTAGAAATACTTGTTTCATATTAGCATTTCTATTTCAAAGCTGTGGTATATATAACAATGTAAGAATGTCTTTGTGTAATATATACATGAAAGATAATCAAACATATTATTATTAAAAATGTCCTTACATTTTTGTCTTTCTGTAATATATACATGAAAGATAATCAAACATATTGTTATTAAAAATGTCCTTACATTTATGTCATTGTGTAATACATACATGTAACATAATCAAACATACTGTCATTAAAAATCATGTCCTTACCTTTGTATATGTATGTTAGAACTATAGCTTAAAGCCACTTAAGTCTAGAAAATGGTTTCAGAAGTGATGGTGGGTTTGACAGCTGTTCAACTTGATGTCACCTTTTTCAGTTTAAGCAAGATTGCTAGTTCTCCAAATTGATTGTAAGAAAAAAAAAAAAGTGAGCAACTTCAAGCTAGGGACAGTGTTCATATACACATTCATGCAGAAGCAGAACTGTGGTCAGGACATGAATTTTTTTGTGTTTGCATTGTCACACTGCTGATCCCAGATGTCTAAACTTTCCTTTCACCCACAGAACAGTGATGTGTGCTCCACTGTGTGCTCTCTGCCTGCAATGTTTCTCTCATCCCTTAAAAAGCAGAAAAACTCTTCTGTACCAAAAGCTGTAGATCAGTTCTTTTATAGTTTTTCAGTGCAGGTGCCCTCTTAGCTGTCAATAAAAAAAACTTTATATTAATTTAATGTGTAAAGTAGTAATTTCAGTGAAGTAATTGAATTTATCAAAGCCTAAGCTGATCTGAACCTTAATCCCTGAGTAAATAATATCCCTCTATAAATTATAAGATTGGTCCTCAAAAAAGGATTAAAAATTACAGTGTGCTAAAGTGAATGGTATAGTAAAGATTCCAGTAGACAGCCTTTTGTCTGATTTTTTGTATTTCCAGTCATCATCTTTTCTAGCAAGCACTAATACAGTGTGTAAAAAATAATGATTAGTCTAATATAATCCATATTGATCCCCACTCTTCTGTTACATACAAGAGCTCAAGATGTAAATTTTCAAGACTGAGTAGCCAGTTACCACAGATTCCCACTTTTCAGCGTACTCAGGAGGCAGCATCCATATTTTCTAACTACTATATATATAAAGCCAGGAAGACAGTGAACATTTCCATACTCTCTCTCTTTCTCTTTCCTTTCCTCTCCTTTTATTTTTGGATTTTTTTTTCCCAATAATTTGATTATTTTCTCATTTAAAGTGAAACAGAAATTATAATCTTGAAACTACCAGTTTTCCATACGAGTGCCATTTGTCTACAAACCTTGCTGCCTCAGTTAAACAATGAAAGGTAAATTCATAGGGAAAAGGTTTTTTCTATTATTCTTTATTTTTTTTTTATTTTCCCCACACAATTGGAAAAATAGCCAATTTAGAGGTGTTCCAGTCCTCTGATGTTCTATGCTCTTTTCTTGTATTCAAGACTAATAAGTAATTTTTTAGCTTATGGATATTGACTTTGTTTTAAGCTTTCAGCATACCCAAAAAGCTCAATTCACAGTGGTGGTTACACAGTACCATTTTGATCTGCTACCTTCACACTTTGCCTGATACTGATATTGGTGTATGAGGACAGGAGGAAAACCCAAGGAAGTGTTAGGCTTAAGTTACAAAATTAATTGAATCTAAAGGTTGTGAATGAAACAACTAGATCTTTAAGGGTTACATTAGATT